TCCAGTTGCCTTACTTTCTAATATTGCTATTACGTCAGGGTTCTTGTCAAAATTTGTCAGTTCATGCATCTTAGGTGTCAGTCTGTAAGCTGTCTTATATCAGACTATTAGGTTCTCGCCTCAACTTTCCTCACAACTCAGTACATAGGAAAAAAAGCTTAAATTGTGTCAGGGTGGTCATTTCCAAATGTTCAAAAAGGAGAACTTTGGACAAATTATATATATATATATATATATATATATATATATATATATATATATATATATATATATATATATATATATATATATATATATATATATATATATATAGAAGGGGTGTAAAGACAGAAGGGGTGTATACACCCCCCTTTAGGCGAAGGGAGCAGGAGGTTGAACACAAGGTACCATCTGGGAGGTGAAATCCTGCAAGAGTCAAGTAGAGAAAGATTTGGGGGTTGATATCACACCGAACCTGTTCCCAGAAGCCCACATCAAAAGGATATCATCAGCGGCATATGCTAGATTGGCCAACATTAGAACTGCCTTTAGAAACTTGTGCAAGAAATCATTCAGGACCTAGCATACCATTTATGTCAGACCAATAATTGCGTATGCAGCTCCAGATTCAGAGGTAAGCTAGCAGACTAGTCTCAGAACTGAGAGATATGAGCTACGAGTAAAGGCTACGAAAGCTACACCTCACGTGCTTGAAAGACGGAAGAGTAAAGCTAGACATGACAACTACCTACAAAATTCTCAGGGGAATTGACAGGGTGGACAAAGACAAACTATTTACCACGGGTGGAACACGGACAAGGGGACTAGATGAGTACAGAGCCTAGAGTGACAGTGTAGCCCTGTCACTCTGTACAGAAAATTTGTATTTCTCCTTTCATAAAAATCATGGTTGGAAGGATTGGAAATATAGCAAGTTCAGTTCTTTAATATGGTTATAATTACTTGGTCTGAATTACTAGCTCCTTCCAACCTTGAAGGGATAACTGGTCCTTGGACCCATACTGACCCGCGCTTCCTCTATTATGAGTCAAGCTGGGAACGACGGGGTCAAACTGTGAGCAGTTGTGGTGTGTTGGTAGTCTTAGCAACGTCAGCTAGGCTCTTGTAAGTCTTGACAACATGCGTCTATCATCTTACTATGGCGTCTATCATCTTACTGTAGCGTCTATCATATTACTATAGCGTCTATCATCTTACTATAGCGTCTATCATCTTACTATAGCCTCTATCATCTTACTGTAGCGTCTATCATCTTACTATAGCCTCTATCATCTTACTGTAGCGTCTATCATCTTACTGTAGCGTCTATCATCTTACTGTAGCGTCTATCATCTTACTATTTTACTAGAGCGTCTATCATCTTACTGTAGCGTCTATCATCTTACTATAGCCTCTATCATCTTACTGTAGCGTCTATCATCTTACTATAGCCTCTATCATCTTACTGTAGCGTCTATCATCTTAATATAGCCTCTATCATCTTACTGTAGCGTCTATCATCTTACTATAGCCTCTATCATCTTACTATAGCGTCTATCATCTTACTATAGCCTCTATCATCTTACTATAGCCTCTATCATCTTACTATAGCCTCTATCATCTTACTGTAGCGTCTATCATCTTACTATAGCCTCTATCATCTTACTAGAGCGTCTATCATCTTACTAGAGCGTCTATCATCTTACTATGGCGTCTATCATCTTACTGTAGCGTCTATCATCTTACTGTAGCGTCTATCATCTTACTAGAGCGTCTATCATCTTACTATGGCGTCTATCATCTTACTATAGCCTCTATCATCTTACTGTAGCGTCTATCATCTTACTATAGCCTCTATCATCTTACTATGGCGTCTATCATCTTACTAGAGCGTCTATCATCTTACTATGGCGTCTATCATCTTACTATGGCCTCTATCATCTTACTGTAGCGTCTATCATCTTACTATAGCCTCTATCATCTTACTAGAGCGTCTATCATCTTACTATAGCGTCTATCATCTTACTGTAGCGTCTATCATCTTACTGTAGCGTCTATCATCTTACTGTAGCGTCTATCATCTTACTAGAGCGTCTATCATCTTACTATAGCGTCTATGATCTTACTAGAGCGTCTATCATCTTACTGTAGCTTCTATCATCTTACTATAGCGTCTATCATCTTACTATAGCGTCTATCATCTTACTATAGCCTCTATCATCTTACTTTTTTCGGCTCATGTAAGTGGGAGTACAGTGTGGGAGTGGCAGCAGGCGGAGGTGACAACAGAGACGAGTAGGGAGCGGTATTCCCGGCGGGATAGTACAAGGTGTGTGAGGAGCAGGAGCCGTGTGGAGGCGTCCCTGGGTATGAAAGTTACCATAGTCCACCCTATTATTACCCTGGCTGCTGGCGCCGCCGCTGTCATGCTCTCTAAACGTCATGGTCTTCCCACTTCATTCTCACTGGAGATCCTTCACACGTCGTGTCCGCTCCGTTACGGCTCATTCTATACTGCAGTCCCTTCACTATCATACTCATATATAAGTAGTTGGGATTTGTCTCTGTTAAACATCATTGTTATCTGTTGCCAGGTGTTGATATCTGTGTTTTTTTAGTGCGTTATCTTGAAGACATTTTCCCGCAGATTTGCGGGAAAATTTTGTTTTGGCAAAAAAATAACAGGAGACTGTAGTTTGTATTTTCATCTGTGTGGGATGAGAGAGTAGAGAGAACAAAGACAGTGTACTATGAACCAATCTTACACGGCCCTCAGACCGGGAGATAGTGTGCTCTTGTAGTATATAATAATAATAATAATAATAATTTTTATTTAGGCAAAGGTACATACATAAAGAGATTTTACAAAGTTTGTTGGCTTTATAGATAAGAGCTAGTACATACAATGCCTAAAGCCACTATTACGCAAAGCGTTTCGGGCAGGAAAAAACACTACTGACTAAAGCTTAAAACTAATGGGTAAAAAGAAAAAAAATGCGTTGAGTACAAATAAAAATAGAGGTAAAAGAGGGGGGAACATTGTTGAAAAAACAGCACAAATACAATTACAAATTATTACAGAAAATTACATTCAAACAGCGTTGATTTGAAAAACAAAAAAAAACATACATGGGTTGACAATAGAGGGGTAGGGTAGGTTACAGGGAATTTATTAGGTATAGCTTCGTTTTTAACTTAAACTGGTTGAGAGAGGTACTGTCTTTAACATGGTTGGGAAGGTCATTCCACATTCTGGGCCCCTTGATTTGTAGAGCATTTCTGGTTTGATTAAGTCGTACTCTAGGAATATCAAAACTGTATTTATTTCTGGTGTGGTGCTCATGGGTTCTGTTACAACCTTCTATGAAGCTTTTGAGATCAGGATTGGCATTACAGTTTAGCGTTTTGTATATGTATAGTACACATGAGAGAATGTGCAGTATATAACCTCTCTCAGAAAATGAAATATCTATTGCCCAACTTTGCCCCTATTTATTCATATGGCTCTTATTTTAAAATCTATCACTCCATGACCACATTTATTTACAGATTTTGTTAAGATAAACTTTGCAGCATCTGCATCCTGGTGTTGTGCTATTGCTCCCCTCATTTTGTCATAGTAGTTGAGCAGTTGTGAGACAGAATCTTCGCGCTTTAAGCCAACATTGACCTCCATGTACAGCTGATTTCTTCTTAAAATGTGATTTAATGTTCAATAACTATCTTCATCTTCACTAAATTGAGACGTTATTGCAGTTCCTTCAGAGGAACAGTCAACATGAGAGAACTTGTACCACCTGATGACCCCCAACCCCACCTGATGACCCCAACCCCACCTGATGACCCCCGACCCCACCTGATGACCCCCAACCCCACCTGATGACCCCCGACCCCACCTGATGACCCCCAACCCCACCTGATGACCCCAACCCCACCTGATGACCCCAACCCCACCTGATGACCCCCGACCCCACCTGATGATCCCCAACCCCACCTGATGACCCCCAACCCCACCTGATGACCCCAACCCCACCTGATGACCCCCGACCCCACCTGATGACCCCCGACCCCACCTGATGACCCCAACCCCACCTGATGACCCCCGACCCCACCTGATGACCCCCGACCCCACCTGATGACCCCCAACCCCACCTGATGACCCCCGACCCCACCTGATGACCCCCGACCCCACCTGATGACCCCCGACCCCACCTGATGACCCACAACCCCACCTGATGACACCCGACCCCACCTGATGACCCCCGACCCCATCTGATGACCCCCGACCCCACCTGATGACCCCCAACCCCTTAGGTGTCAGTGTAACCTGTGTGTCAGTGCATCTTAGGTGTCAGTGTAACCTGTGTGTCAGTGTATCTTAGGTGTCAGTGTAACCTGTGTGTCAGTGCATCTTAGGTGTCAGTGTAACCTGTGTGTCAGTGCATCTTAGGTGTCAGTGTAACCTGTGTGTCAGTGCATCTTAGGTGTCAGTGTATCTTAGGTGTCAGTGTAACCTGTGTGTCAGTGCATCTTAGGTGTCAGTGTATCTTAGGTGTCAGTGTAACCTGTGTGTCAGTGCATCTTAGGTGTCAGTGTAACCTGTGTGTCAGTGTAACCTGTGTGTCAGACCAAGCGAGGGTGGCGGCAGGAGTCGGCTCATCCTCTAAGACGTACTGCTACATTAGGCCTAACAGAGTGCATGTAAATCCTACACTAGGCCTATCAAAGTTTGGGTTAGAGTGTTGCCTGCTTCTCCCGCACTCCACAAGATGGACAGCACAAAACGCCAACATTGTTGGTTGAAACAGCCCCATTTTCATACGTTCTCCTAAATAGTTGCTATATAATTACTATTATTTAGGAGGTTGGGTTGCATGGGGTGTGGATGGGGGTGGTGCTTGGTAGGTTGGGGAGGGGGAGTATGGTTTAATGGAGGGGGGTCGTCTTCAGGGGGGTGCGGAAGGGGCCGCAGGTATATAAGGGGTGGACGCTGCCTGCCTCGCGACTACTGTAGAGGCAGCAGCAGCCGGGAGAGGAGGGACCCCAGCTCCCAGGACACCCCTCACGGACCTACCTACACTCCCAAGTACACACACACACCCACGAACTGTACTTACACCCAGCAACACATGAACTAAGACACAAGCCGCTATGAGAACGGTAGGTGGAGTGTGTTTCTGTACTCGGCCAGTGTTCTGTACCATCAGAGAGATTTTTTACACCACCCTGATTAATAAGAGCTAAGTGTACATTGTGAGAGCTTTATACACCTCGAGAGAGCGTTGTACACCCCAAGGGAGCGGCGTGCACCCTGAAGGAGCGTTGTACACCCCAAGGGAGCGGTGTGCACCCTGAGGGAGCGTTGTACACCCCAAGGGAGCAGTGTGTACCCTGAAGGAGCGTTGTACACCCCAAGGGAGCGGCGTGCACCCTGAAGGAGCGTTGTACACCCCAAGGGAGCGGTGTGCACCCTGAAGGAGCGTTGTACACCCCAAGGGAGCGGTGTGCACCCTGAGGGAGCGTTGTACACCCCAAGGGAGCGGTGTGCACCCTGAGGGAGCGGTGTGCACCCTGTGGGAGCGTTGTACACCCGAAGGGAGCGGTGTGCACCCTGAGGGAGTGGTGTGCACTCTGTGGGAGCGTTGTACACCCCAATGGAGCGGTGTGCACCCTGAGGGAGCGTTGTACACCCCAAGGGAGCGGTGTGCACCCTGAGGGAGCGTTGTACACCCTGAGGGAGCGTTGTACACCCTGAGGGAGCGGTGTGCACCCTGTGAGAGCGTTGTACACCCGAAGGGAGCGGTGTGCACCCTGAGGGAGTGGCGTGCACCCTGAGGGAGCGTTGTACACCCCAATGGAGCGGTGTGCACCCTGAGGGAGCGTTGTACACCCCAAGGGAGCGGTGTGCACCCTGAGGGAGCGTCGTACACCCTGAGGGAGCGTTGTACACCCTGAGGGAGCGGTGTGCACTCTGTGGGAGCGTTGTACACCCCAATGGAGCGGTGTGCACCCTGAGGGAGCGTTGTTCACACCAAGGGAGCGTTGTGCACCCTAAGGGAGCGTTGTTCACACCAAGGGAGCATTGTGCACCCTGAGGGAGCATTGTGCACCCTGAGGGAGCGTTGTTCACACCAAGGGAGCGTTGTGCACCCTGAGGGAGCGTTGTTCACACCAAGGGAGCGTTGTGCACCCTAAGGGAGCGTTGTTAACACCAAGGGAGCGTTGTTCACACCAAGGGAGCGTTGTGCACCCTGAGGAAGCATTATACACTTCGAGGGAGCATTATACACCTCGAGGAAGCATTATACACCCTGAGGGAGCATTATACACCCTGAGGGAGCATTATACACCTCGAGGAAGCATTATACACTTCGAGGGAGCATTATACACTTCGAGGGAGCATTATACACCTCGAGGGAACATTATACACCTCGATGGAGTGTTATACACTCTGAAGGAGCATTATACAACCTGAGGGAGCGTTATACACCTTGAAGGAGCATTATACACCCTGAGGGAGTATTATACACCTTGAAGGAGCATTATACACCCTGAGGGAGCATTATGCACCCTGAGGAAGCATTATACGCCTTGAAGGAGCATTATACACCCTGAGGGAGCATTATACACCCTGAGGGAGCATTATACGCCTTGAAGGAGCATTATACACCCTGAGGGAGCATTATACGCCTTGAAGGAGCATTATACACCCTGAGGGACCATTATACACCCTGAGGGAGCATTATACACCTTGAAGGAGCATTATACACCCAGAGGGAGCATTATGCACCCTGAGGGAGCATTATACACCTTGAAGGAGCATTATACACCCTGAGGGAGCATTATACACCCTGAGGGAGCATTATACACCTTGAGGGAGCAGTATACACCCTATGGGAGCATTATACACCCTGAGGGTGTATAATGTACTGTACACCATCCAGGAGTACTGTACACCATCCAGGAGTACTGTACACCATCCAGGAGTACTGTACACCATCCAGGAGTACTGTACACCATCCAGGAGTACTATACACCATCCAGGAGTACTGTACACCATCCAGGAGTACTATACACCATCCAGAAGTACTGTACACCATCCAGGAGTACTGTACACCATCCAGGAGTACTGTACACCATCCAGGAGTACTATACACCATCCAGGAGTACTGTACACCATCCAGGAGTACTATACACCATCCAGGAGTACTGTACACCATCCAGGAGTACTATACACCATCCAGGAGTACTGTACACCATCCAGGAGTACTATACACCATCCAGGAGTACTGTACACCATCCAGGAGTACTATACACCATCCAGGAGTACTGTACACCATCCAGGAGTACTATACACCATCCAGGAGTACTATACACCATCCAGGAGTACTGTACACCATCCAGGAGTACTATACACCATCCAGGAGTACTATACACCATCCAGGAGTACTGTACACCATCCAGGAGTACTGTACAATATCCAGGAGTACTGTACACTACCCAGGAGTACTATACACCATCCAGGAGTACTATACACCATCCAGGAGTACTGTACACCATCCAGGAGTACTGTACACCATCCAGGAGTACTATACACCATCCAGGAGTACTGTACACCATCCAGGAGTACTGTACACCATCCAGGAGTACTGTACACTACCCAGGAGTACTGTACACCATCCAGGAGTACTGTACACTACCCAGGAGTACTATACACCATCCAGGAGTACTATACACCATCCAGGAGTACTATACACCATCCAGGAGTACTGTACACTACCCAGGAGAGTACTATACACCATCCAGGAGTACTGTACACCATCCAGGAGTACTGTACACCATCCAGGAGTACTATACACCATCCAGGAGTACTGTACACCATCCAGGAGTACTGTACACCATCCAGGAGTACTGTACACCATCCAGGAGTACTGTACACCATCCAGGAGTACTGTACACTACCCAGGAGTACTATACACCATCCAGGAGTACTATACACCATCCAGGAGTACTGTACACCATCCAGGAGTACTATACACCATCCAGGAGTACTGTACACCATCCAGGAGTACTGTACACCATCCAGGAGTACTGTACACTACCCAGGAGTACTATACACCATCCAGGAGTACTATACACCATCCAGGAGTACTATACACCATCCAGGAGTACTGTACACTACCCAGGAGTACTATACACCATCCAGAAGTACTGTACACCATCCAGGAGTACTGTACACCATCCAGGAGTACTATACACCATCCAGGAGTACTGTACACTACCCAGGAGTACTGTACACCATCCAGAAGTACTGTACACCATCCAGGAGTACTGTACACCATCCAGGAGTACTATACACCATCCAGGAGTACTATACACCATCCAGGAGTACTGTACACTACCCAGGAGTACTGTACACTACCCAGGAGTACTGTACACCATCCAGGAGTACTATACACCATCCAGGAGTACTGTACACCATCCAGGAGTACTATACACCATCCAGGAGTACTGTACACTACCCAGGAGTACTGTACACCATCCAGGAGTACTATACACCATCCAGGAGTACTGTACACCATCCAGGAGTACTATACACCATCCAGGAGTACTATACACCATCCAGGAGTACTATACACCATCCAGGAGTACTGTACACCATCCAGGAGTACTATACACCATCCAGGAGTACTGTACACCATCCAGGAGTACTGTACACCATCCAGGAGTACTGTACACCATCCAGGAGTACTGCACACCATCCAGAAGTACTGTACACCATCCAGGAGTACTGTACACCATCCAGGAGTACTGTACACCATCCAGGAGTACTGTACACCATCCAGGAGTACTGTACACCATCCAGAAGTACTGCACACCATCCAGAAGTACTGTACACCATCCAGGAGTACTGTACACCATCCAGGAGTACTATACACCATCCAGGAGTACTATACACCATCCAGGAGTACTGCACACCATCCAGAAGTACTGCACACCATCCAGAAGTACTGTACACCATCCAGGAGTACTGTACACCATCCAGGAGTACTGTACACCATCCAGGAGTACTGCACACCATCCAGAAGTACTGTACACCATCCAGGAGTACTGTACACCATCCAGGAGTACTGTACACCATCCAGGAGTACTATACACCATCCAGGAGTACTGTACACCATCCAGGAGTACTGTACACCATCCAGGAGTACTGTACACCATCCAGGAGTACTGTACACCATCCAGGAGTACTGTACACCATCCAGGAGTACTGTACACCATCCAGGAGTACTGTACACCATCCATTAGTGCCTATAACCTATCTTTCACCGCCCACGGGAGGACTTTGGTGTCCGTAATACAGCAACTTAACTAAGCTAGAGCTAACCTGAGCTAGGTGAGAATCGGGAAAGACCTGGGTAAATACCGGCTTGGAAGAAGAGCGGATGATGTGTGGAACTGATCACCGGGATACATAATAAACGTGGCATGCCTTCAGTGTTTCAAGCGCCGGTCAGACATACATGATGTCTGACCTTGGAGATGACTTGTATGCCAATACTCAGGCAGGTGTGCTGAGGAGATATCTGCCTTGCCCACACACCTCATGTGTGTGGGCAAGGCACCCTGCACATCACTGATAAATGGACCACATACCACCATGCACATCACTGATAAATGGACCACATACCACCATGCACATCACTGATAAATGGACCACATACCACCATGCACATCACTGATAAATGGACCACATACCACCATGCACATCACTGATAAATGGACCACATACCACCATGCACATCACTGATAAATGGACCACATACCACCATGCACATCACTGATAAATGGACCACATACCACCATGCACATCACTGATAAATGGACCACATACCACCATGCACATCACTGATAAATGGACCACATACCACCATGCACATCACTGATAAATGGACCACATACCACCATGCACATCACTGATAAATGGACCACATACCACCATGCACATCACTGACGACTCCACTACACACCATCAGTGTGAATAAGTGATAAAGTGGGTGATACACCATCTGTGTGATAATAGTGCAAGGAAGGCACCAGGACTATACCATGGATCTACACTTGCTGGTTCACAACGTTGCAGTACAAGAGGTTCACAC